GGGAACCCATCGGGACCTCGTTCTACACGAATCGAAGAAACGTAAATTCAGAAAAAGAAAATACGGGAATTACCACGACGTTCTATCGTTCCCACATTCTTTTAGCCAACGTCGCAACGTCATGTGAAATTTTCTATCCTCTTTACCACGGTCGACGGAAATATAGCAAAAGAGAACGTCTTGATTGATTTTCGTTTTGGATTTCGTTGTTCGTTATCCGTTTCGTTTTCGGAGGATTTCGTCGTTTTAAAGAGGAAGAGATCCGCCTTTCTTCGTCGGCGGTAATATACTCTGCGCGTGACGCGAGCAATTCGCGTAGAAGCAAACAATTTCATAAAGGGGTGCGTGCACGACCAAGCTCGTTAGAAATTATCCAACATCCATCTGTGACACGGCGGTCATTAGATTTAAAGACCGTTGCATCCAGCTTTTTTACAAATCGCCTGGTATTAATCTCTTTAGGTTGCGAGCAGCTAATGCGGAGGAAAGACGGATGAACGTTTTCGTCGATAAGACTCGTCGTTGTTTCTTCGCGTGTGCGGGTTTACGTGTGGGACAAAAAAAAAAGCTGAGAAAAAGGGAATCTGCGGTACCAGGTGTCCAGGAGTCCTCCATTAAAATTTAATCAAATCGATAAACAGATACGTTATCGCGCGCGTTATCTATTGACTGCAATTAACCAAGTAGAAGACGCGAACTTGTTGCTTCTATGCCGCCGGTAGACAATTTAGAGAGGGACAACATCCCCGAAGATACGAAAAATTAGAAGAAACGATAAACGCCGTCTACACAGCTCATACATCGATCGTAGGAATCGTTTTATCGTTTCGATCGCATGCAGGTAGAATCGAACCAATAAAAATATGTTAGAACGCTGCTGGTAGAAAAATTCTCACGGGACGTTGGGGCGACACCTGCTTTCGTATATTTGCCTCTCGATAGGAAATAGTCTCATTGTCAGCGCGGCAATTAACAAGGGAGTAATCGACGATCCATTATACTAGAGGCGACTCTTCGCTACGCACAGTCCTCTCCTTCCGCTTTTAAATTCATTTCCGCCCACGTGTAGTCGATCGAAGACGCCCAACGCTTCAAGACGATGTTGATAAATTATCGTTTTAAATGTGTTTCTTATCGTATAGAGTGAAATTTCTTGGAATTCCTTTTGGCCTGACCTTAAGATTGTATGTACGGTATATATGACGAAAGTATTCGAATATTTATCGCATCGAGATTAATCGATTGTTTAAATACTTTCGTGATTTTTTACGAAATATAGCTATATTTGTCCCAAATGTGTAGCTTGTGGCTCCTATGTACATTTTCAGATATCTCGTGCCTCGTTACAGCGCTAATAAAATTTTAGAATGTTTCTTTAAACACGATATATCCATAAAATGTTTCTACAAGTGTTGGAATATTTCCGTAAGCTACCGTAGTTAGGTTTCGCGAAACGTTTCGCGAGAAGGACTATTACGTTCGGGGAATTTTCAAAAATTTCTCTGACAAAATTTCCCCGTAATTTTCAACGACGTGTCAGCCGATGACGTAACAGACGCGATATCTCGTGCGAAGCTAGAGAATAATTTCTAAGACGACGAAATAGCCGCTACGAGAACGTGAGACGAACATCACGTGCTCAATTTTCCGAAGACGTCACGTAACACGCGTAGCTTGCCCCGTACCAGCGACCCTTCTGTCCTATTTCAAACCTTCGGAAGCTAATTTCCCTGACAGAGACGTTTCCGTTCGTTTTCCCTCCTTTTCCATCCTGGCCGCAAGCCGGAGAACAAGAGAACTAAATCAATGTAGGACATTTATATTGGCTGGAAATCGCTGACTCTCGCCACTATGGACACCCACCGGGACATATTAAGATTTCTGATCCGGCTTGCCGGCCGTCGGACATTTTTATTATTGCGTGTCCACCGAACCACCCCCGCGAACCTGAGAAATAAAACGTGAATTATTGGCCACGCGGTGTCTTCTCTCTCGCCGCGGTCGATCCGACTTCGACTTTTCGTCTCTATCGTCGCTTCGTCGATTTTTCGATCGAACCATAACGCGACAAAGTAAAGTTGGCGTTATTCGAGCCAAGCTAAGTGATTTACCTGGTAATTCGCTAAATTCGGTTATGCGTCATTTTTCAGCGATCTATATTTGAAAATGGAGTATTTGACTGGTTTTTAACGACGCTATAAACGATAAAACACGTCCTGTAGATTGACAGCTTCGCGTAGACTCGTAGTCTTTCCTACTTAGACTCTGGGGATGTGACGTTTAAAATACTCATCAAAAGATCTTTTCCATGTACGTGTCTCGATACGATCGAAAATGGAGGAAGAAATGGAATTGAGAGAGAGAGAGAGAGAGAGAGAGAGAGAGAGAGAGAGAGAGAGAGAGAGAGAGAGAGAGAGAGAGAGAGAGAGAGAGAGAGAGAGAGAGAGAGAGAGAGAGAGAGAGAGAGAGAGAGAGAGAGAGAGAGAGAGAGAGAGAGAGAGAGAGAGAGAGAGAGAGAGAGAGAGAGAGAGAGAGAGAGAGAGAGAGAGAGAGAGAGAGAGAGAGAGAGAGAGAGAGAGAGAGAGAGAGAGAGAGAGAGAGAGAGAGAGAGAGAGAGAGAGAGAGAGAGAGAGAGAGAGAGAGAGAGAGAGAGAGAGAGAGAGAGAGAGAGAGAGAGAGAGAGAGAGAGAGAGAGAGAGAGAGAGAGAGAGAGAGAGAGAGAGAGAGAGAGAGAGGACAGAGAACCAGTGTGCAACGCCTATGCACGAAAGCCACCGGTGTCAAAGCAATTCATTTAAATTAATAGGTCCAGAGGCCGCGCGTTTATCGCGCGATTAGTAGTAGCTTTTTTTTCGTGTCCCCACCCAGGGTGGGTGTTCGTATTTGTACTCTCGTTATCGACTGCTGTCACGATAAACCCGATGCTTTTATCGCCTACAATTATATGCCCCGTTCCTCCCTCGCGAGATATGGATGCGTTCTGAACGCTCGCTCTCGAAGATCTTTTGTTCTTAGAACTCCATAGATTCCGCGTCGCATTTTTCGCTTTTCAGACTATCACGTCGTCGGGCCTAAGGAAAAAAATAGTTACCTCGTCATCTCTGCAATTTGCTGCCTTGACTCTTCAATATCGTTCCGAAGCAAACGAACCTAGACGTTTATTGGTTGATATGGTGCAATTATGCAAATTCGCCTTCGAACGAAGCGAGAACTCTTGATAACCCGTGTTATCAAAAGGACGGATCTAAACGCATCTTAGCTTCTTGGTAGCAAAGCGTGTTCCGCTATTGGTTCCTATCGGCCCCACTACCCTCTCGGTCAATCGGCGCGCTGACGCGTAGTCAGCTCGCTCGCAGTCTCGCGTAGGCCTTCGCGTGGTCGGTGTCGAGTTGTCTCTTTGTTTCTTTCTTTCCCGCCTCTTCTCGTCGCTTCCGAACGTTTCCACCAAGTTATATTAACGAGTCGTAAACAGGGAACGCGTATCCACGTTTCTTATAAATATAATTATTTATATACTTTCCGAAAATATGCGGAAACGGCGATAAGATTTATTTCACAGCGTGTCGTCAACAGCGTGTTAAACACACGTCAGGCGTTCAAACGATAGTGGTGATTAAACCCGAAGATATTGAAACGAGAGTGTACCAATTGTAAATGGTTTTTTCCTTGGCGAGGAGCGCGTGCGTCTGAGTTTCTCCGAGTCCCTTTGAGGAAATTTCGCGAGAAATTTCGCAAGTTGCAAGAAGGCGGAAGTTGCGAGGATTCTTTCGCGGCTCCCAGGAACCGCCGTTAAATTCGGCCTAAACGGCCATAGTCCTCGCGTTAGACCGAAACTTGTCTGTCCCTCTCGTTTTGTCGTGCTTTCGGTGGCACCAGGTGGAGTAGTAGGTGGTGGCGAAGCGGAGGGGCGCGAAGGAGAGAGAAGAAGCAGGGACAAAAGTTTTCGGCGGAACGGCGGCGGGAGAGGAGAGAAGCTTTCGCCGGGAGAATAAGGGAAGCGGCGTGGAATATTTTAACATATATCACGCTGAAATTGGGACGAGGGTATGCTGCCGCGAATCTCTCCTTCTGCGCCACTTTCCACCCCCGTGCGAGCCCTCGCTGGCAAATCGCCGGTTCCCCGCTACGCCGCCGTTATGTTGTCCCATCGCGCGATTTGACTTGCTTTCGAGAGGCTCCCACCATCCCTGACGATATGTTTGTCTACCCTGCTGACTACGGCAGCTACAGAATGGTAAGGGATGGAACGCGAATGATTTTCGGGCCTGGCGTATCTTACTAGCAGCAAAATGTATTTGCACGCCATTGTATCTGTTATAGCATTCACGTACCGATTAATTAGGTCCAGGTACAGTGACTACCTATAAGCCTTTTACGTACTAATTAATGATTTAATCAGCTATAACAAATTTCGTATTCTCCAGTAGTACGTACTATCGCACGACTATAGAAATTTCATACTACGAAAGTACAGTGTCGAGGCTGATAAAAATACGCTTCATTGAAAAACAAGGGCATGTGCAAATACTTCTTCCAGCCTGTACACCCATCCTTACTCTTTTTCTTTTCTTTATTAATCCTTAAAATATATCATCGAACGGAGTCACGTGTACGCTATCACATTTGAATTCGATGTATTTCTTTGCGTTCCAAAAATCGACGAAACAAAGGAAATTCCAGTAAATTAAATTACTCGATATTAGATGAAAAGTGGAAAAGTTATCGTCGATAATAAGTATAAGTACCGTTGTAGTCCTCTCTATTTAATGTTTAAAATTATCCCTAGCTTGGGAACGCCGAAGAATTCTTTTCCAAGAGCGATGGTTAAAGTTTCGACAATAACCTACTTATTACGAGTTTCTACTAATTATTCGTAAGAATATGTCAAGCTATAATCGGCGAGTCACGAGTAACGCGAGTCAGAGGATGAATTATATTTTAACTCTATGCTTTTTATAAAAAAAAAAAATTGATAACCTCTTTCGTTGTTTTCGTTGCAGTATGGCTCGGATGAATTCGGTCAGGACTCTCCACGATACACCTCCCCTAAGGCTGCGACCCTCTACGCAGATCCTTATTATATCGGTAAGTTATCCAGTCTTTTCATTCCTATCTTAATAAATATCATAACTTTCACGATAGCAAAGAGTAACGCGATATAACGGTAGCGGAGTCGCAAGAGTTGCAAAAATACAGACACGACGTTAACTTGAAATTCAAGCGGGAAAAAGTATTACGAACAAAAAGGAAAAGTCGTTCTATCCTCGTTACCGTGTACTCTTAAACTGGTATCGATCGTGAGTCGAAAATCTAGGCCGCTCGTTACCGGACACAACTAAAAGTAACATCGAGCCCGTTCCGTTGGATCGATCGATCGATCGTTGTCTAACGATCTGGATCCAGCCTATCGGTTCTCTCTCGTTCGTGTACACGTACACGTTGATCCAGCGTGCACGCATCTATATCAGTTGGAAATCGCGTAACGATTCAAACGAACGATAAAAGGGACTTTACGATCGCAGTAATATTCAACTGTTTAGCGCTGGCTCGTAAAATTCGCCGCTCTGCCTGTCGCGCGTAAAAACAATAACAATTTCTCTTTATTTGTTCGAACAGCGGCGTGTCCAACTCGTTCCGCGCTGAAATTCGCGGCTACGCGGGACGAGAGGAAAAAGTCGCCCGTGGAAAAGCCGCGACGGCGCGTTTCGCCAGTCAACTTTATGTGATGCCGCGCGCTGGTCAGATGTCGCGCAACGCGATTAATTCTGCCACGTTTTTTCGGTTCTCGACCGAATCGTACTTCTCTCTTCTCGTATTTCTCCTCTAGAAAATTTCGTAACTTTGAGGAAGATACGAAAGAATCGTCGACGAAATGCGCGATTTCTCGGCCCAATCTTACGCTAATGATCTTTCTTCCTTTCTGTTTTTTTCTTTCGTTTTTAAAGTTGTTTCCTCGGTTGGAAAAAAATGTGACTAATCGCGTTCTTCTTCTTCCCTGTCCTACAGTTTTCTAAAAACATAAAAAATCTTTTTTCGCGACTAACTTAAAAGCTTAAGGCATAAGTAAAAAGTTCAAGGTCCGTAACAGAGTTAATGCGCGGAATCACCGTCTCTCTCTCTCTCTCTCTCTCTCTCTCTCTCTCTCTCTCTCTCTCTCTCTCTCTCTCTCTCTCTCTCTCTCTCTCTCTCTCTCTCTCTCTCTCTCTCTCTCTCTCTCTCTCTCTCTCTCTCTCTCTCTCTCTCTCTCTCTCTCTCTCTCTCTCTCTCTCTCTCTCTCTCTCTCTCTCTCTCTCTCTCTCTCTCTCTCTCTCTCTCTCTCTCTCTCTCTCTCTCTCTCTCTCTCTCTCTCTCTCTCTCTCTCTCTCTCTCTCTCTCTCTCTCTCTCTCTCTCTCTCTCTCTCTCTCTCTCTCTCTCTCTCTCTCTCTCTCTCTCTCTCTCTCTCTCTCTCTCTCTCTCTCTCTCTCTCTCTCTCTCTCTCTCTCTCTCTCTCTCTCTCTCTCTCTCTCTCTCTCTCTCTCTCTCTCTCTCTCTCTCTCTCTCTCTCTCTCTCTCTCTCTCTCTCTCTCTCTCTCTCTCTCTCTCTCTCTCTCTCTCTCTCTCTCTCTCTTCCATTTTCTCTTTCAATCGCTGTCAACGTTATCATTCGCGATCTTGACTGCGCTCTATTTAACCGCGGATCCTGATATTTTCGAAACGAAGTCAGAAAATTTACAAACACGTCGCCCAGCTCGAGATTAACGAAGGCGAGCATCCGCGCGTAATTCACCGATCGATACGAGAGCTTTGTTCTGGGTTCTATAAATTCCACAAAGTCTTGCGAAATTCGAAGAATCGTTTCGCCGTTAGCCGCGGTATTTTTCGAGGCAGTTCTCTCCGAGAGAGAAAGCTGAGAAGGTCGTCGAGCGCATCCAAAGTTTCCCGGATGGATTACCGAGGCGGTAAATCAATAAGATCGGTAAAGTTTCCGAGTAAAGTTGTTATTAAAGATCAGAGGGTAAGGAGGCTCGTTGGCCGGCTTCTCGAATACGTTCTCGGCTCGTGACACCCGGTAAGCGAACGGAATACCTTATAAATGGGGAGGAGAAGGCCGAACGAAAAAGTTTTATCAGACATCGAATGCCAGTAGTTGGTAGGAACGGACGAGTAGTTTGGCTTAGTTTCAGTTCCCTCGTCGTGGAAATCGCTGTCAACGTTATCATTCGCGATCTTGACTGCGCTCTATTTAACCGCGGATCCTGATATTTTCGAAACGAAGTCAGAAAATTTACAAACACGTCGCCCAGCTCGAGATTAACGAAGGCGAGCATCCGCGCGTAATTCACCGATCGATACGAGAGCTTTGTTCTGGGTTCTATAAATTCCACAAAGTCTTGCGAAATTCGAAGAATCGTTTCGCCGTTAGCCGCGGTATTTTTCGAGGCAGTTCTCTCCGAGAGAGAAAGCTGAGAAGGTCGTCGAGCGCATCCAAAGTTTCCCGGATGGATTACCGAGGCGGTAAATCAATAAGATCGGTAAAGTTTCCGAGTAAAGTTGTTATTAAAGATCAGAGGGTAAGGAGGCTCGTTGGCCGGCTTCTCGAATACGTTCTCGGCTCGTGACACCCGGTAAGCGAACGGAATACCTTATAAATGGGGAGGAGAAGGCCGAACGAAAAAGTTTTATCAGACATCGAATGCCAGTAGTTGGTAGGAACGGACGAGTAGTTTGGCTTAGTTTCAGTTCCCTCGTCGTGGAAACTCTGGCCACGGAATTATATCAAGCAAAAGTATCAAGAAATACGTTCCCGAAGCTTATTGCTGTTGTTTTCAACTGAAATAATGGCTCGTGTCGTCGTGCCGTCTATTGCCCTTTCTAACGGGTGTTCAAACACGACCAACGAGTTCCATCATCCGATAAAAAATCTCGTTCAGTTTTTCTCTTTATCGAACGACATTTTCTTCCAGTCGGGAAATCTAATTTCATAGAACCTTCGATTTAAGAGAATTTCGAGTTTAGGTGATTTTCATCGTGACAATTTTCCAGTGGTTTTTGGGCTATGCAATTACCCAAAAAACAGATATAAAGATTTCTCTTGAGAACGGCATAGGGACGCTCGGGGTACTTACCTGCTGCTCTCGTACAAGCGTAACTCGTACCGGTGTGGTAATTGATGCAAATTATTACCAGGAAACCGATTAGTCGATGATATTGACTTTTGAGTAAGAAAAAATTACCGTACATGGGTTTACGGTTGCTTCGTGCATTGACTGCACAGTCACAATGCTGTCTCTTTCCGCAAATAAGGAGCAATGTTCGCGATTCGGTTTCCGGGCGAGCGAAACAGCAAACGAATCGCTCGCATCCGCCCGCTTTCGACCTCGCTCATGGTAATGCAACAAATAGTAGCACGTGGCGTTCAGTGTCCAGGGCATGTCGCGCATGTGCTCGAATAATGTTCCTTGTCTAATCAGATTAAAAGACACGTATAGAGCTGAATGAATGAAATCCCGTGGAAAAAATGCGTCTCTATATATAGTTCGTTATGCGCGATAGAAATATTATCGTAAAGGTGGACACGCGTGTCGGACGAAACTTTCGTAACGTGTAATGCGCTTTTTCTCATACTAGTGCTATTTCTTTATATACCGAAGAATTATTTAAATCCCGTAAACGAATAAATCGACAAAATACTCTAGCCCGTAGTTTATCGTAAACGAGTGTTTTCTTTGTGTTCTAGATGGGAACGCTGCAGGAACGGGTCCCGGAGATCCATGGACGGGAGGTGGCGGCGGTGTACAACCTCCGTATAGCGGCTACGCACCCCCTCACCTGGCCCAACCAGCCTATCCCATGCACCTACCCCACGACCCCATGGTAAGCGACTCCTTTCTTCTCTCCGTGATTTTCTTTCTCTCGCTCGTACGCGCGTCGTTCTCGTTCGTCGATCAATCACGCGTGACTGCGCTCGTTTCTTCGGACTTGACATCCCGATAACTTCACGATAGACAGGAGAGGAACTTTCCCCCAAAATTCTGTCGTTGGTCGACCAGCCGACGACCGATTCGTCGTTAGAAGATTAAAATCTTCGAGCCTAATCCTCGTCCTTTCGAAGATCGATGCCTGCCGAAAAACTAAGCTGTTCCTTCGTCTACTCGAGAGAAAGAATCCTCGCGGTTGCTTCGTGCTTGTTAATAACGCCGCCACGTCACGAATTTCTCGGCTCTGCAACTTTCCGGAATGTTCGCCGATATATTTTCATCGCGGAGGTCGCGGAACGAGGGAAAACTTGCCGGTGAAAAATTGCAATCTCCCGGTTAGGCGTTCCGCTGCAGCGCCATAAATTCAGCCGGTTCGCAGCCATTTTTCCAATTCCTCTCCTTCGAAGACGTTCGACTCTTTCGACGTCGTCAGAGTGAAGACTAGCCTATCGACGCTGACCTTAATCCTTTACATGCAACGTGATCTAGATCTTAGAAGAGCGACGCGGACGCCGAACTTTTGTTTCGTTCTCTTCTGCTTTTCGTTCGATCTCGGAGTAGTCATCGATCACCGCGTCGCCTGATACTCTGCCGATTCGTTGCGCAGATCCAAAGTAGTTGAGAAACACTGTTGACAGTGCTCCGTGTACTCGGAGCAACGTCAAATGACTCACTGGCTTCTATATATAGAACGACTCTCCCGCTACTCGGTGTTTCTAGTCAAGTGCAGCCTTCGTTTGATTTACGCCGTTCATGGTTACCACGAAATCCTCCTGTTCGCGGCACCCCGGATTCTCCTCCCACGTTCCTCTGCCTCCTTCGAACCCGTTCAACGCATCGACTCTCCACGAGTCTCTAATTGGTCCCGGACTCGAATCGAATTCGAATGGAGATGAGAGCTTCTAAGATTATCGCGTGCCATCTTTAGCTACTTTTGATCGCTAAAACGACTGCGAGATAGTTCGGTAGAATTCGTCGACAGGCACGAAAGAAGCATCCTGAACCGGGTCGTGGAAAAGAGAGAATGCGTAGTTTATGCATTTTCGTTACGTTTTACAAAGACGCGCTCGACGCGTCCACGCGAGTCGAGACATCTCCGGCCGAAAGGTTAAACATTTACGATCCCGGTTTAACGATCCCTGTTTCCAAGAATCTGTCCCCCGCAGAAACGAAGGAATCCTTTGGTCGAAAGCCGGGTTCACCGCGTTTCCCAGTTCTCGATGGCCTGCTGGTCAACGTCGAGGAGCACACGAGAAACACGAGAGAGCGGTACTCGCCGTTGGTTATCGCCTCGTTCTTTCCTTCGTACAGCGAACAATTAACGGCGATTCTCGGTCGTGAAATCGAGGGAGGGTCGCGTGCAAACTCCCTCTAATTTGTTGATAAATACGCTTCGTTGTTGAGCCGGAGACGATGACTTAAAATTAGACGTTTTACGAGCGAGCTTCAGTAGGTGCGAGCGAGGGCTACGCGCCACTAAGCGTATCCGATATCAAAGCCGTTCTGGTCCGGTCCATTATGTACCAGACTTGGATTCAAAAGGTCGAACGAGTCGTAAGTCAGCTAACAACTATTCCACGTCTCGTACCGTTCTCGCGGAGATGTCTTTGTCCGTGTCGTCTGCGACGATTGTTTGGAACGGTTTGTTACGATGGCGGTCCGTCTGGAAAATTTTCCACGTTTCAACGAATATTTCCCGTAACCTATATAATTGAATTTGATAATAATTGCAGGCATACTCGGCCATGTCACCGAACGGAGAACCGGCAGCGCCAATTCTGGGCTCGGCGGTGACCAGTGCGGCCTCGCTGCCACCAATGTCGACATTCCGGGGTAGCGGCGCAGTTGCGGCAAATAGTGGAACCGGTGCACCATCCCCGGCATCGTTGCAATATAGTCATAGTCCTGGTGCACCGACTACCGCACCCTCCGCCCCCAACTCTGCACCCACGACGAACCGACAACCTGCTACGGGGGACAACCTCGGCATTTCTATCTCGGTACTATGCAGAGCTGAAAAGAAAACTAACAGTACTTCGTTCGCGCCACTCTTCAGGCGACGCAATTAGTAAATGTGGCCGTTTCTAAATCATAAAAAGAGAAAGAGAGAGAGAGAGAGAGAGAGAATAAAAGAAGTAGGCTACAAACGAAAATGCATGCGAAATCGAAGCGGGCTCTCTCGCCTTTGCAACTTTGCGCAGTACCTGTTGTAATAGAAAAATCTGTTTAACCTGTCTTTTCTATTGTTTTCAAGCAGATTAACCCCACGAACCAATCAGTATCGAGTTATAGCAGCAACCCATCCACACCAGTCAGTTCGCCACCACCCTTGACTGGTTCGGCGCCAGGTTGGGTACCAGGTGCTGCACCAGTTTCTCCACATTTCACGGCGGATCCCAACCGTGGAACCATTCACATGGTATGCATCAAAGCTTCGCTGTTAACAGTTTCCTTTTTTCTTTTTTTTTCTTTTTTTTTTTTTCTTTCAATTTGTTTCTTTCGAATATACTTATCTACCATTATTTCACCCGACACTTGCAACGAGACGAGTTTGATTGTTTGTTGGAGAAACACACGCTCGGTCCCGAGTTTATTGGTGAACTAGATTTCAACGTGGATCTCGTTGGAAAGTGACGGGTGCATCTCTGAACGCAGACACGCTTCATCACCGTTTCGACGCGCTTTAGAAACAGGTCAAGGACGTTCGTAACAGATACCTCTCGTGCTCGTTCACTTCTCTTACGATATTTTATCGTCTGCACTATGGTGACTCGTTGAGAGTACACCCGTTGTTACACGCACTGACTTTATTTCTGCTCGGGGGAGGATCGGAATGCTTCAATCGAGAGCATTTAGAACAGAGACAACGAGCGAATCAAGAAAGTCACTTTTATTTTTATTTTTGTTTTTTCTTTCGTTGTTAGATTCTGCCCTCCGTTGCGCACTTTTGAATATTCGCACAAAGTAGCATGCACTCGACGCACCGACAATTCATCTCGCGTGTTTTGTCCACGTTGCAGACCACTTTATTATCCTCCCCCTGTTCAGTTATATTCAAGTCGATCATCTGGCATATTTCATTTTTACATATTACTTTTTTTCTTTTTGACCTTCGTTTATCCCTTTTGTTTGTTGTGAACGCTGTGTTGACTTGGTTGTTCTCTTTTTTTTTTTGGTTTTGTTGTTGCGTTGGTGTTGTGTGTGAAGCCGGCGCCTGAACAGCAGAGGCTAGACGATGCCATCGGCTTTCTTCGCGACCATGCCGAGGTGAGGACTGCCGATTTTTAGTTTTTTTTTTTTCTCCCCCTTCTTGTTTGTTCTTGTTTCTGATCCTCTCTCACCAATTCATTCGTAACACACCACTTTTGTGCATGAACTTCGACACACGGTACGGAATTTACGACGCGCGAACGACACACCGCGAATATCGACGTTTGATCGAACGAATGTGACGTTCCCGGCGAGACATCGCGTACTTCTTTCTTACTTGCATATTAATCACGAGTCACGTTAATTCTCACATTGTTTGAACAATTTCTTATTGATAAAAAGAGAGGAAATTTTCACTGTGAGAATTAATGGCATGTCGAATTTCCGTCACTCTCGTCAGTTTCCATCACATCGACTTTTAAACAGAACCCTGTCTCATTTCATACACACGCTTTCCATCATCTTGTATGAAGTACGTTTAATCCACTGTACCAGCGTCACAGATACCTCGATGATACGCTGCATTTAACGATCGAGCGATTAGCGTTGTATCATTGACACTGGCATCTTTGGTGATTTGAAAGAAATGTCAAACAGCCGTGTAATCGAGTCGAATTTCGGATATTCTGTTGGTACAGGGTACGCGGATGGAGGAACGACTGGACGATGCCATAAACGTGTTGAGGAATCACGCGGAGAGCCAATTAGGTCTTCATTTGGGTCCCGTTGCTCCACACGGTTCCATCTATTCCCACACATCACCACCTCAACTAGACCATTTGGTAAGATTTCTATTCTTCCAAGCAATTGAGGAAATTTTTGGAATACCGTGAGACAAGTGGCGAGTCGAGCAAATTTGAATCGATGATCGAAATGGATCTTAAAGAATTTCTATTCCTTTTCCGATATATTGGCGAAATGAACGAAAAGTTCGTGTTAATTGAAAAAAATAAATCGATACTTTATAAGAATTCAGTTATTTAAGTAGAAAATACACTTGGCATCTACTTGACTAGATTATCGACAGATATTTCTGCAAACTTATATCCTTAACGCAATTATACAAAAGCTGGAACCTAAGCAGAATTTTGTCTCGCTTGGTAAATATTACAACTATACCATTTCGGCTGTTTTATATATTTCTGCGCGTTATTATATGTATTTTGTGCATTTTGCTACTTTTAGATTTCTCGCCACTGCATAAAAATTCGTAGCCTATATACAGAATGTTAAAAATACATTTATAGGATGCAATTCTAGAAGAACGAAGAAGGGTGTCTTCTTTCAAATTGTACAGGATTTAGATTCAACATCCCGTTTCTCCGTAGATATAGAGGTTGTCTCTTAAAAAGTTCCTCGATTCGTATTTATTTAAAAAAAACACGTCGAAAAGAAGTCAATAACGATCTCTTGTCCACAGACGAGTCCTCATCCTGCGGTAACAGTAACGCAACCTCAGGGCTCCTACTCTGGTCTGACACCCACACCCGACACAGACGGTTCCATCAAAATTGAAAGGTTACCTGTGACGAATGCCAGTAAGTTTCAACCTATCCTGCCCTCCAATCTTTCGCTTTCCAAGAGCTTCGTGAAATAGAGATAAACGAGAAAGATCGGTTTTACGAGGTAGGAAAAGTGTTGGTTTAAAGATGGCGAAAGACAAGTGTCAACGAGCCTTGACAATAGCTAATCGGAATGGCTGCGTTGTTCTATTCTCGTCGTCGCATCATCGGATAAATGCTTTTTTCCCACGAGTTACAGTGCAATGACGAAAGAGAGAGAGAGAGAGAAAGAAAGAGAGAGAGAGAGGAGAGGAGAGGAGAGGAGATGAGGAGAGAAGGAGGAGTACCCAGGTGTTCTACGTTAGAGTTAGAGCCCGATAAGGAAACATTAGATAAATCGCGCGAATGCATCGTGGTCGTGCCTTTATTCTTCTCGGAGACCTCTGTCTCCGGCATTGTGTCTTCGTTGCTCTTTGTTTCTGTTTCTGTCATGCGTTCCTCTTACCGGTGAACGTTCGTAATCCTTCTCTCGGTGCTCGCCTAATGCAATGCACAAGTTCTCCAAGGGTCCTTTACGAAGAAACGCTCTTTTCTCCATCGACGACCATTTTTGGCGATTGGAATTCGGAGCGCACGATCAGGATTCTCTTTCTGGTTACATGGAACTTGGTACGATCGTCTTTCCAATTGCTTCTTTTTCCTTTCCTTTTTTCATTCCTTCTCACTTTTTTTTTTTTTTTTTGTCACTCTTTCGACGATGAGAGGGAAAAAACGTTGGTGATGCTTTCACCGGCTCTCATCGATAGAGAGCATAGTAGTGTCTCGGCCGTGTTTCCAGGGAATAACGCAGTCGCGGACCTTTGCACACAATCACGGAACCGATTTATCTAGCGCGATTCTCGGCGACTTTCATAGAAACGCAGCGCACGAGTTAAATACGAATCGCGAAACGCAGCGAATTGTCAGGCGAGTGCAGCGTTTAAGGAGATGGTTGAATCAGTGTATCGAGCGTGCACGTAAAGCGCTTCCTGCTCGTAATTGGACACTTTTCACGGTTTCGTGACTAAGCGGTCTGTCCAAAGCTCGAGTATAATATCGGCAACCTGGTATCGCCGTACACAGCGAAGGTCATCGTACTTCCGGGTGAGTTCTGGCTGCATTTTTTCCACCGTTCTTGTGGCTCGACAATACGTGGATCGATCTCTCGACAATCGAAACTGTTTCATTCATCGTTAACGTCGAGTCGATGAATGAGAAGGATTTGATAGGACAAGTAAATGCGAGTTTTCTCTATTTCACGAATGCTGGTTGATGCAGGGGAAAGGGTAGGAATATCAGGTATATTTATATTTTACTTTTGATCTAGTTTCGAACACACACACAAAAAAAAAAAGAAAAGAGAAAGAAAGCGAACTTAACGAAAATTGTATCGCATATACTATTACTGTAATTTTAATAAAAGAACAGCAAGAGATCAATAGCTGCCCTGGAGGGCATTGTAATTGAACAGCACGCGAGAACACGATAAATTCATTTTTTCTCAGCGCTCGATAAGATTGTTGGGAAAGGAACAACTTCTTAGATTCGGAAATTTTATAAGCTTCCTAATAATACCATGTAATTTCGTAAACAATCAAGCGAAGAATCATTGTGAAATGTTTAGTAGGTTGTAAAAATACACGCGGAGACCATAGGGATAAACACGGTAAATCCTACTTCTGATGAAAAAGAGGAAACAACCAGTTAGATCCAAAGACGTAAATATTAAAAAAAAAAAAAATATGTGATATATCTGCGAAAATGTATTTATATTTGGTCTCGAAAGCAAATAAAGAGAAAGTTTTAGAATTATGAGATTGGTTAACAGCGTGTGGAATTGAAAAATTATCGTCACGTAATTTGCCGTACTTCTTTTTCCTATGGTCTTCGTATTTAACCCTGCAACGAAATAAAAATCTATCTACTTGCTCCTACTTGCTAACGCGGTATCGTTTATTTTCTTATCGCGTTCCGTGCCTGTGGTCTTCGGCTATAATCTCTAATAATTGCGTTCTAAACATCTTTAAAGCGATCGAAATTATGCAGCGATCAAAATGCTTGTATGTCCGAATTAGCGTCTTAGCGTGAAATAGACGAAAACCTTAGTATCTCATATACCAGCCCTCTCCTCTATTATAATACTATGACTGTGTTTTTGGAAATGTAAATTGACGGTATTAATAATGAGCAGAATACGTCTCTTTAGAAAAGAGAAAGGACCCGCCGGATAGTAGCGGCGGCGAGCGGCGGCGAGACAAAACCTTCGAGCAGCGAGCTTGCAGCAGCGGGTGTGATCTCTACGTCTCAAGGAAAAGGGACGAAGAGATCGCGTAGATAGTAAGTATATCTTGGATGTGTACACTTATCTGAGATTGAGGCGCAACGATATCGATCATAGAACGACAGTAGTGAAATATCGAGCCGAGTAGAGGCAATCAGTCGTGAATCAGATGTTGATCCAAACGCAGCTTTACCATGCCGAATATATTTTAGTAGTAAAAGACCTGTGCATTCTACGAAGATAAATTGCGCATCTTATAACAAAGTATAGAAGCGTAATAGACAGCAAATTCGAGATGGTAACGCTGTGACGGACTGATTATATATCAATCGACGATACGCCGATTACGAGAGGCCGATCTCTCGTTATTCTCGTGCAATGTAGACTTGTAACTAATCGATTATATTCAAACAACCGTTGTTCGAGTGCTGACGAAGACTGCGACGATCCCAGCACCAAAGCGGTGCGCGAAAAGGAACGTCGCCAGGCCAACAACGTGCGTGAAAGGTTAGTGAACACGCGCAGTAAGCCCTCCCGTTGTTATTTCCTACGAGTTCTTCCGTTCATCCAGAATCCTCTTTTTGCATCCTGTACCCTCCTCTCGTATGCATGCCCCAAATCGAATAAAAGAAAAAAGAAAAAGAAGTAAAAGAACGCGCAGTTGTAATTATCAAGATCTCGATGGCATGCTTACGCCCTTTCCAACACAAGGCCCGTATTCTAGCGTGACAATTAAAATGTTTCTGGTTAAGGACAGAAATGATACGAGATCAGGCGAGAGATCCACAGTTCTCGTGCTCGCCTCTCAATCAGTTTCATTTTAATTCAGCTGCGATTCGGTCCCCCCAGGCATGCTATCTATCTATCACCCTTTTTTTCTTTTTTTTTTTTTTTTTTTTTTTTTTTTT